TAGGGAAATTGGGGAGAGGAGCCTTAAATACCGTAAGGAACCCCATTTATTGCCTTCTAAATTGGCTTGATTTCATGTATACTATGCCGTTATGCTTAGAAAATTAGCTCATGTTTATCATTTTGTAATTACATTTTTAATTACATAAAAAAAAAAGAGAAAGTTATGGCTAGAGGTGATTTTGATGGGGAGAGAGAAGTGACAGCTTATTCAGAGCATGTACATTTTCCATTTTTTGTAGTTGAAATTTTTGTTTTGTTTTGTGGTCCTTTTGTTTGAAGCACTTTGAGTAAATAATGTCAAACATGCTCTTTCCTGAAAATGAATAGAATATGTCTCAGAGTTGACAAGCTGAAAATCTGTTTATTATATTAACATTAATTAACTGAGTTTCTCATGGATATTTCATTAAGGAGTATATATATGTATATAAATGCAAGTTTGGCATCTGAAAATAAGACATAAATAATCATAATTTACAGCCAACAAGTAGAGTCAGGGAAAAAAGATAAAGTGCTTTAGAAATTCAGAGGGGGGAGAGATTATTTTCAGCTTTTTCTTTTTGTGTGTGTGGGGAAGGGGATTTGGAGGAAGATCCAAGCAGAGATGATAGGGGAAAGGTGTTCCGGGTAGAAGAAACCCTGAGGCAAATGTAGAGTTTGGGTGTTATGTGGACATGGGGCATTTTTGTTTGGTTGAAGTGTGTTCATATGGTGGTCGGGCGAGGTGCTTGAAGGAGAGTTAGGGAAGATAATGAGAGAAAGATAGTTTGCACCTGGAACTTAGAAGTTGGCAGGAGTTTCAACTTTATTTGCAAGCAGCAGGGAGCCATTAAACATTTTTTGAACAGAGGCCTGATATCACCTGGCTGATGCTTTAGAAAAATGATTCTTGTTGTTGTTATTTGAAATTTTAGTAAGCAGCATGCGGCACTTATATCATCAGCAGAAAATGATAAAAGTAAAAGAAAGATGCATCTCATAGAACCATTTAGGTTGGATTAGAAAGTGAGAAAGTAGAGATAAGGAAACCAGTGAGGGAGGAGGTTTATGTAATATTTGCAACATGAGTAAGCCCTAATCCCTGATGTGTGCTCTTTTGAAGCAATGATTAGTACTAAATAGTATATTATTTGATTGGTTTTTTGTTGTTGTAAGTTTTTGGCTTAAGTAGAAAAGGAATCAGTAAGGTCATTGGGGTGGCTTGCAAAAACTCAAGGCAGACTGTAGCTGGACCTCAGAAAGGTCTAGAACCAGGAGCTAAAAAGCTATTATTGGTAAGCCTCCCTTCCCTGCTCCCTCTCCTCTATTTCTCAGAGCATTCACTGGATTCTTTTTATTATTATTATTATTTATTTTTTTGCGGTACGCGGGTCTCTCACTGCTGCGGCCTCCCCCGTTGCGGAGCACAGGCTCCGGATGCGCAGGCTCAGCCGCTCCGCAGCATGTGGGATCTTCCCGGACCAGGGCACGGACCCATGTCCCCTGCATCGGCAGGCGGACTCTCAACCACTGCGCCACCAGGGAAGCCCTCTTTTTTATTATTTACTTGTAAACTTTATCTCACTAGTCTAAGCTGAAGTTGGAAAGTGGCCTTCCTCACCTCCTATGTTCCAGCCGCCTGGAGAGGAGAGGGGAGAGACAGACAGAGACAGAGAAAGACTGAGTGACCTTTGCTCATGGTTTCGATTCTCGGGGATAGGACTTTGATTTTATTGTACTCAAAGATGAACTTATTTTTACCGTTTTATAGTTAGTGCCAATCAACCATGGCCAGGAGAGTATAAATCCATGGCCAGGAGAGTATAAATACACTGCAGGAATTTACTTCTCTAGATTGGGGGATTCGTTTTTTGTTTTTTTTTTTTGTGGCTTATTTATTTAAAAATTTTTTTTTTTATTTTTGGCTGCACCGGGGCTTCATTGCTGCGTATGGGCTTTCTCTAGTTGTGGCGAGTGGGGGCTACTCTTCATTGCTGTGCATGGACTTCTCATTGCAGTGGCTTCTCTTGTTGCAGAGCACGGGCTCTAGGTGCACGGGATTCAGTAGTTGTGGCATGCGGCCCCAGTAGTTGTGGCCCACGGGCTCTAGAGCACAGGCTCAGTAGTTGTGGCACACGGGCTTAGTTGCTCTGCGGCATGTGGGATCTTCCCGGCCCAGGACTTGAACCTGTGTCCCCTGCATTGGCAGGCAGATTCTTAACCACTGCGCCACCAGGGAAGCCCGATTGGGGGATTAGTTAAGAGGTCATTGTAAATTAGGCAGAAATCCCAAAGGGTGTTTACTATAATTATGCACTTTGAATCTTTAACCGATGTTTAACGTATTGGTTGAAAGATAGCAGACTACATTAAATTCAGAGAAGTAATATGAAAATTGTGCAGGAATTTCCTCCCGATAAGCTACAGAGTATAAATTGAACCTTAATAAAGCCGGTTACCCTTGTGGGAGTGAGGAATATACAGAGTGAGAGGAGACCAGAGTGCTGGGGTGCTGGAAATGTTCTCTGGCTTGATCTGGGTAGAGTAGTGATTACACAGATTTATGCATGTGTCAGAATGCATCAAGACGTTTGCAGTGTGTATGTATGTACGTATGTATGTATGATGTATGTAAGCAGTATCTCAAAAAGTCGAGGCAAAGCTGACTTATTTGATTTATCCACCTTTCCTTGTCATATAGATGCCCGTGTATCATTATGTTTTTGGCAATTTAATTTTAACTTTTCCCTTTTATTTCAGATAGACACATTTTTGATAGATGTTCATCTGTCAAATAATTTTTGGTGTTTCAGAAATGTAAATAGTATGATGACATTTTTTAATGCATATATTTAAAAAAGTAATACTTGGTTTACTTTTTCGCCTAATTTAGGAGCTGTGACTGATGAGAATTAAAGGCCATGGATGAAGATGGACTTGAATTACAACCACAAGAGCCAAACTCATATTTTGATGCAACAGGTATAACTACTGGGGTTGTTCCACTTCCCACCTACCAGATTTGGAGTTGGTTGTCAAGTGGAAAAATTGCTAGATGCTGTCATTGATATTTACACTTAGGTATCTTGTTATCCTATCAAGCTTACAGATGTTAAAGTGAGTATATTATTATTCCCCTCCTTAAAACTTTGGCTCCCTCATAACCAACACTCATATTCTTGTCAGTAACAGCAACATTATCAAAACCTTAGTGTTTATACTTCAGTCCTGTTAAAGTTCTCCCTTCGAAAATGTTCCTTGCTTACATCTCTTCATTCTACTTTCTTCCACATAGACCATTACCCGGCAGGTAAAGTATAAACCTAAGGCCCTCCATGTTCTGACCCCATCCTACTTTTAAAATCCTCTCTCTCGCAAGTTAGCAAAAGGAGTCTTACCTCACTCCCCAAACTGTACAAGGAGAATTAAATTTATGAAGTTCTAAAAATGGGAAAAAAGTATTCACAATTTTGGATTACTCATGGTTCCAGTTATATAACATAGTGAAGTGATTATGCTAGGTTTTGTAATATAAAGTGGTTTTGTATCACACTAATTAGTTACCCTTATAAATAAAATGTTAATGAGTTTTCCATTGGACTTGAAATGACTGTATTGCATACTAAAGAAATAGCAATTAACTTTATCAGGAAATTAAATATTAGCGATTTTTAATTTTAACTTTTCTTTAATCTCTAAATCTGTTGGGGGTTTGTGTATTTTTAACAATTTGGGATAGTCTTTTGACTCACATTTGGTAATTTCAGCTTGATAATGATAAATGCAAAGTTTTGATTCTTCTTTAGAACATGAAGTATAATTAATGTGCTTGAAAGAGAGACTAAGCTCTTTGGAGAAAAGCGCACACCATTTACTAGCTTAATGTTGCCACAAGCAAGCCTGGATCATGGGCTAAGGGGTAGATTGAAGGGCTGTTGCATTTTAGCCCTGATTGTTAACACTTATGGTGTTTGTTTATCTTTGAGCAAGTCACTTAATCTGCCAGGGCCTCCATTTTCATGTGTCCTAATAATAATGAAACCTTTCATTACAGTTTTTCAGAACACTTCCCATATATTCCCATTTGATCATCACAGCAGTCCTGTGAGGTATGCATGGCAGATACTACTGTCCTCATTTCACTGATGAGGAAACCGAAACTCAGAGGTTAAATGACTTGCCCAAGGTCACAAAACTAATAAGTGTCCAAATCCTGCTCTCCGATTTAGATTTTTCTAACCAGTACTCTTGCCACTAAATGCTTTCATCTTCATGTCTGCAAAATGGAGATTACAGTGATCTATTGCTTGATGTTAATATTGAGAATATTGAAAACAGTATAAAGCATTTTGTAGAAGTTCTGTGGGAATTAAAGCAAGCACTCTCTATTATTTCTAGGTGTAAATAAAATGGATATTAACTGGCTTTAAGATTTCTTACATTTTTAAAGGTTCTTTGGCCCTTGTTGATTATTTGTGTTTGTTTAAAAAAAAAAAGCCATGTGTCTCTCTGAGGGCCTGGCCATTGACACAGAGTCATTGAGTTAGGCAGCTGCTTGGGCTCAGCCTGGTCTGAGTCACATCCAGAAGCACTAATCAACTGAATAGCTTTTTAGGTAAGACTTTTATAAAATATTGTTTGCTTTTCTCTGGATCAGGAGCCAAGGTACCAGATTTGTTTTATTTTATCTTACATTATGTTTTTGGCAAGGATATCTGATTTCGATTCTCATTTGTGGCATTTATTCAGAGTAGTATTTACTGAGCACCATAACCTGTGCAAACTGTGTGATCTTGGTGAAGTCATTTAATCTCACTGGGCTTCAATTGATTCAACCCTCTACCTTCACTTGTTAACTGCAGAGTGGACTAGAGTAGGGTTTCTTATGTTCTGAGGAACTGCCAGGGGGATTGGCATATGGGGGGATGGGAGGAAGCTGAATGGAGGCAGACTACCCTGGTGAGGTTGGGGCAGGCCCCACTCCAACTAACCTCACCTTCCATTGCTCCAGAGCAACTGCACTTTTATTCATTTTATCTGTCTACAGAGGCTCCTTAACCAGTTGTCTTTCTCTTTTACTGTGGCCTTCTAGCCCTCTTTTTATTTATGGCCTGATTCTTCTTATATTCTAGATTTGGAGGATAGTTTCTGAATTTCCATAATCATAAATGGAGGATATTGGTGGGATATTGTTCTAGAACAAAGGAGGAGAAAGGGGAAATGAAGGGAAGTAAAAGAAAACATGGGAGAGATGGACAGGAGAAAAAAAATATGAGTTGAAAGAGAGATGGAGCAAGAAGGGAAAGAAGTGAAAAACATATAATGAAGGAAAATGGTATATTTGCCACCTGAAGTTGCTTTACTTATTAATTTTTATAATCATCCCTTAAGTACCTATGCATATGGGTTTAGTTTTAGTCAGCCTAGAATATTACTTTCATGAATATGTTTTTGTGTGTGTGACTGCCTCATTTACTTTGTTTTTCTTTTATTTCCTTACCTGTTAATTGATTTGGGATGAGTATAAAAGTTCTTGTATTAAGAATTTCTATTTCTGATATGATTCAAAAATAGTTTATCTCTTTATTTCTTTAATCTATCTTAATGTTTGAGACAACTAAGGAGCTAGTTTGTTTTTCTGGTAGAAATTAAGTAACATTTACATTAGTTGAGGTAGTCATGCATGTCTACCTGAAATTTGTGATTTTAATTTTTTTTTTTTAAGGAGCTGATGCTACACACATGGATGGTGATCAAATTGTTGTGGAAGTACAAGAAACTGTTTTTGTTTCAGATGTTGTGGATTCAGACATAACTGTGCATAACTTTGTTCCTGATGACCCAGACTCAGTTGTAATCCAAGATGTTATCGAGGACGTTGTTATAGAAGATGTTCAATGTCCAGATATCATGGAAGAAGCAGATGTATCTGAAACGGTCATCATTCCTGAGCAAGTGCTGGACTCAGATGTAACCGAAGAAGTTTCTTTAGCACATTGCACAGTCCCAGATGATGTTTTAGCTTCTGATATTACTTCAGCCTCAATGTCTATGCCAGAACACGTCTTGACGAGTGAATCCATACATGTGTCTGATGTTGGACATGTTGAACACGTTGTTCACGATAGTGTAGTAGAGGCAGAGATCGTCACTGATCCTCTGACAGCTGACGTAGTGTCAGAAGAAGTATTGGTAGCAGATTGTGCCTCTGAAGCAGTCATAGATGCCAATGGGATTCCTGTGGACCAGCAAGATGATGACAAAAGCAACTGTGAGGACTACCTTATGATTTCCTGTAAGTCTTGGGGTACAGTGATTGTCAAAGGTGTTTTTGAAGGCTGTCTAACTTATATTGGGGGTGAAATTTTCTTGACTTCTATAAAATTAAATCTCATGGACCTTCCTTCATTGTTGTTTCAGTTTGGAGCCTGTAAGATAACTCAAAATTAAGAAAAGTGGAATGGTACAGAGTAGAATCATTTCTCTGTAAGGACACAGTAGAAAGATGAGATTTCTTCAGTCTAGAGATCAGAGATTGAAAGGACTAGAACTGAACTTTGTGAAATCATGAAGGATGTGATTAGGCTGTTACCAGCCTTCATTAGAATTAGGAACCCTCTTGAAACTTAAAAGGAGTTCAACTTAGAGAAAAATATATACCCAAATTATTTATATTCTTGTATTACACTACTTATGTAATACTATGTACTATGTAAAATGCTCTTTATGTAACAGCATGGAAAAGAGCTCTGGCATAGTATTTAAACAAATATTCCAAAACATGATTTCAAGTATGATGGACTCATACTAGGTTATTGAAGAAAAGTAAGGTGTTTTGGAGCACACCTCTAACATCTGGGAGAACAGCTATGTCTTCTTACAATTTATTTCTTGGTACCACTTTCAGAGATCCTGAGGATCCTAATCCTCAGTTGGATAGACCACAGTTCTGACCCAGTATGGAAATTCTGATTATGCCTCTAGGAACTAAACTTCAAACAAATAAAGACTCACAGACTATTTGCTTACATAAATGCACGAGACCATTTGCTTTGCTTAAATACCTGTTATAAAACAGGAATTTAATATAAAATATTGGAGTCCAGCAGCATTTTAGGAAATACCTTTTTTTTTTTTTTTTTTTTTTTTTTTGCGGTCCGTGGGCCTCTCACTGTTGTGGCCTCTCCCGTTGCGGACCCTCAACCACTGCGCCACCAGGGAAGCCCAGGAAATACCTTTTAAAAGTTCTTAAGATTTTGGAAATCAGAGAGTTCTTCGTGTAAAGAGGAGGAAATGCCTTCATTCAACATGTGTTTACTGTGCCACTACTATGTGTCAGACATTTTTGTAGATAGTGCAAATATGGATATGTGCTAAATAAAAATTACACAGGGCTTCCCTGGTGGCGCAGTGGTTGAGAGTCCGCCTGCCGATTCAGGGGACATGGGTTCGTGCCCCGGTCCGGGAAGGTCCCACATGCCACGGAGCGGCTGGGCCCGTGAGCCATGGCCGCTGAGCCTGCGCGTCCGGAGACTGTGCTCCGCAATGGGAGAGGCCACAACAGTGAGAGGCCCGCGTAAGCAAAAAAAAAAAAATTACCATTGTCCTTGGAGAGCTTACAGTCTACAGTGGGAGAGAAAGATAGGTTACATTGTGATGCAGAGGTGTGACTTAATTGCTGTGGAGACGGAATGGAGTTGCTGACCTTTGAACTCAAGGATGAGTTCCTAGTTTTGCAGGATGAAGAAGGACATGGATAGGAGGGAGCCATTCTAGGCAAATGGTATATAGTATGTCAGAAAGGTCTTGGCTTCTGTTGGGAATAATGGGAACTTTAGGATGTACTCATATCTTTGTGCACTTTCTGTTTATTTACTTAAAATAAATTTCTAGAAATAATATTGCTGGATCAGAGGGTATACATATTTACAAGTCTGGTTATATTTGCCTCGGTATTTTGCCTAATATAATTCCTTCCACCAAGTTTATGAGAATGTCCCTTCCCCTACACTGACCAACATAGGGTATTGTTTTCCATCTTAATTTTTGCCACTCTGACAAGGAAAAATGTAATATCCTGTTTCAAGTTTGAATTTATTTTAGGAAGGTAACCCTGGTAGTAGAAGTTGGAATGGTTCCTACATGAGAGAAGTTGGAATGGTTCCTACATGAGATAAAGAAGATCCTAAGTACATTCATAGTAATGGGAGTAGAGCCGGGGAGCTGGATTTAAGAGAGATTAGGAAGTAAAATGAATGTGATTTGGTGATAGATAGAATAGGGGTAAGGAGTTGAGGGAGAAAGAATTCAAGGAGGACACTAAGGTTTCTGCCGTGGGAGATTGGGTGCCTGGTTATGCCATTACCTGGGAGGAGGAATAGATTTGGTAGAAAGAAAATGTTTCAGGACCTGTTAAAAATTTAGGTTGCTTGCTGGGGACAGTCTGGTCGATGTTTTCTGTAGGCAGTTGAAAATATGAATTTGGTGATTTTGAGAGAGTTTGTGACTAGAGGAAGAAATTTGGGACAACGGAATATAGGTAGTACCCTATGTGGAAATGGGTGGTGGTCCCCAGAGAGTGCTTGTCAAATAAGAGTGTCAAGTGTGGATCCTTTTGGCATTTAAGAAGTAGGCAGAGAAGAGCCTATGAAAGTCAGGAGGTTTTAGGAAGAGGAAGAGGAGAAGAATCTTTAGAATGTTTTTAACGCTGTCAAAGATAAGCAGAATTTCTAAGAGTGTTAGTTACAGAGGAGGGAGTGGGCTTTTTCGTTAGGCAGTTAGGAGGTCATTGATATCTTTTTTTTTTTTGAATTATCCTTTTTGTTTTATTTTTGTGGGAAGGCAACTTTATTTTTTTTAATTTTTAAATTTTTTATTATAACTGTTGGGTGTAATATAGGCTCAAGGATGTATTGTACAACATGGGGAATATAGTCAGTATTTTGTAATAACTATAAATGGAAAGTAACCTTAAAAAATTGTATAAAAAGTTATTGGTATCTTAATTAGAATAGTTTCAATAAAGCATGGGCCAGTGGAGAAGAGATAGAGGAGATAAGCTGTAATGGATTGAGAAGTTGGTGGAAGTGGTGGAGTAGGTGAAGCAGTTTGTATAAATTGCCGTTTTGGTCAGTGAAGGGACAGAAGAAGCAAGAGTACAGCTTTTGATGGTTGGATGGATGGTGGAAGTGTGTTGAGCATATATATAGGTTTACAGGTGCAGGACACAAACAGTTGAACAGAGACTGAAGATATAGGAAGGACTAACAGTTGGAGCAGTTTCCAGAGCAGAGGAACGGAGTAGGGTCCAGGGCAGTGGTGGAAGGCTGGTAGGTGAGTCCTAGAGAGAAAGAGTCCCCTTCTCTGAGACAGGAAGGCAGTTAAGGATCAGGAAAATTGGAGAGCCCGGGCCTGGGACAGTAAGTTTAAAAGGAGTGTTTGAATGTTGGGAGCTATTTTCTCTGTGTAGCAAATTCACCTGCTAATATAGAAGGACTTGCAGAGGTTGGGTGGGAGTTGAAGGGTAGTGGCAAAAGGTTGAAAAGCCTATGTCGTATGGGGATGGGCCAGGGCAGGAAGCTAAAAACTTATAGATTGCTGAACGAACTGCAGGGGCCAGCTGAGATTGGGAGACCTAAGTTTGTATGTAAGATGCACTATTTAAATGAAAATGCTATTTTTAAATATAACTACCGGATTTTCTATCCCACGACTAGGCAACCCAGGGGCAAGGCTCGAGAAAGGGGGGAATTGGGTTCATTGTGCTTTATGAGGGGAGGAGGATCTGGTGAAATACTTGAGAAAGCATTCTCTGTTCTTGACTTCTCTTTCCCGTTTCCCTTTTCCTTTCTGTCTTAAACTTGTTAGCTAAGGAGTAAAGTTCATGGCGTTAGTTCGACCTTCAGCTGCACACTGTCTTTTACCTTTATTACTCTTTTAGGAAGTCAACCCTCCAAGAAAGTCATCCAAAAAACCAGACGTTTCGTTAGTAATGGTTGACATAGTGTAGTAGATTCTTGTATTAGAGCTCAGACTTACAAAATTTTTATTAAAAATTTTATTTATAGTCATCTTTTTTTTTTAGGCCCTGGGTTTGTGCTAATTGATATAGATTTTAATGTTCCTGAAAAAGTAAATACAGATAGACACAAACTGCTATTGTACTGTATTTTAGTATATTTTATATATGTATTTAAAATATGTATTTTAGGGCTTCCCTGGTGGCGCAGTGGTTGAGAGTCTGCCTGCCGATGCAGGGGACACGGGGTCGTGCCCCGGTCCGGGAGGATCCCATGTGCTGTGGAGCGGCTGGGCCCGTGAGCCATGGCCGCTGAGCCTGCGCGTCCGGAGCCTGTGCTCCGCAATGGGAGAGGCCGCAACAGTGAGAGGCCTGCGTACCGAAAAAAAAAAAAACTGTATTTTAATAATACAATGATAATTTCTTCCTTTACTTTTTATTTCCTCCCTCCCTCCCTTTCTTCTTTCTTTTATAAGTAGAATATCACATCCAAGCTCAAAGAATACAAAGAACACATATACAAGTTCTTATCCCCCTATTTCACTATAGTGAAATGGTTGGATTGGTTTTAAATTGGGTGTAGGGATGGTGACTTTTGGTAGTATCTTTTGTCTTCTCTATTATACAGACACTTCTTCACTCTTT